TTCGTGTAGCTTGTTCTATAATTTCCAATGTTTTTTTTTTAATAAAATAAAAATTGTCATTATCATCTTCCTTTTGTTTTGCTTTAGTATTGTATGTAATTAATCTGGAAATTCAAAATGATTATTTTGAAATAAAGAAAATGTCATTTTAAATGGTAGCTTAATGTTAATTAATCTTTTGAACCACCTCATAAAATTAATTTAGTTTTTTTATTGGACCTAATATCGAAAAGGTGCAATTAGTAAAGGAACGAATTACTTTAAGTGGTAACTCCATTTTTTAAAATTCTAACATGTATTTTAATTTTCATTCAGAGAGTTATTAAAATGTTTCTTCAAATTTTGAATCACATGTTCTTCTCCTTCTCTCCTAAATGTTAATGTTAGTTTAATGTCACTCATTTGGATGATTATTTATAAATCTGAATTGTGAATGAATAATTAACTAATCTAATAGGAGATCTGTTCTGATAGGAAGAGCCAGTTGGGAACTTCACTAGGTACCTTGCTCTCATGAAAAAAAACTTTTGAATTCTTCCAATGAAATAAAAAGTGAACTGAACTTTTTAATTCTTACAATGAAAGGAAAAGTGAACTTTTTTATTCACATTTTGTGAAAATATCCAAATGTATTTGTTTGTAAGTTTTTAGAATAAAAAACAATATTAAATCATTAATTGTTTCTGTTTGTGATAATTGCTTCTACTAGGAAAAGGATTGGGAAGAAAAACTCTGGATTGCACAAAGTTCAATGGATCTTCAAAAAGATTTAGAAAATGACTTGGCATCATTCCTCAGAAGATTGATCTTAGCTTATAAATCTTAACTAACAGTCTATCATACTTGGACTGAATTCTGGTTAATATCTGTAATGTAATTAAGAATTCTGGGGATTATCTTGATGTTAATTAAAATGACTAAGCTATGCTGAAAAGATCAACATGAAGGCATCTTGAGGCATTATAAATGAGTTAGAGGTAAATTATTGAGTCTTAAACCTAAAACGGTACATATGATTAAAAAAATATATTATTTATTTATTTATTTGAGTGTTCGACACTGGGGTCATTTACACTGAAGTCTCTTTAGTCATTTGTTTTTTTTTTTTTATTTTATGTATGTCGATAATTTTTAATAATTTAATAAGTTGTGAAGTTGTGTCTGGATCCTGTCTCAATATTTGTTCTGGGTCTGTGGAAATCGTGAGCCATAAACTCTGTTAGTTTGTGAAGCACTGTTAGAACACTCTGTTTTAGGAATATGCTGGGGGTTCTTTATTTTTCATCAGATCCATGGGTAAGTCAACAGTGGCTAATCCTCAGGCAGGTAAGAACTACCTCTTCTCTCCATGATAGCTGTAATTTTTTTCTTGGATGTCTAACATATTGTTCAATTTTTCTTAATTTATTTTCTCTCGTGCCAAACCATTGATTTTGCCACTCCAGCCATCCTTTTTCATTAAGCCAAGATATTAGATTGTTGGGATCACTTATTGAAAATGCTTGACCATTTTTTAGTGCTCGTTTCACCTATGTGTCTGCATTTTCATTTCCAGGAATTCCACTGTGATCAGGTATTCATAAAAACAATACTCTACAACCAGTGTCTTTCAATGTTTTTGATCGCATTTTTATTTCTGTAATTAGAGGGTGTGTGATAAAGGGGTCTAGTAGAGATTGTATGGAAGATTTAGAATCTGAATATATGACCGAGTAGTTATGTAGTTATTAATTACAGCTGGAATAGGTAGCAGCCGTGGTTCTACTGCTGAAAGAATTTGCTTGAACATGTTTGGAAAAGAAATGAGTTTAAGATTTTTAATGTATTCTGAAGATCTATCAAAGAAAGATGAACAGCTGTTTGAAGAGGTGTTTAGGTGAGCTTGGTTGCCTATATTAGAGAAAAGATTGTTAAGAGAGTGCTTAGGATTAGATATAACTTTGATGTTGTATTTATTTGAGAGTTTGAATCTTACTTTTAATCGATAAAGGTATTTCAGTTGCTTCTACGTGTAAGCTGGTGGATGGGTTGTAGTGTAAGGCGCCAGTAGCTGTCCTGAGAGCAGTGTTTTGAACGGGATCTAACATCCTTAATGTTCTTTCACTTCCTGAACTGTAGGCTAGACAGCCATAGTTAATTTTAGAAAGCAGGAGTTGCCTATGAAGAGTGAGCAATGTTGCCCTGCCTGATTCCCAGGTTGTATTGCCAAGTATTCTTATGACGTTCAAAGCCTGCATACAGTCAGCGTTGTTTGGTATACGGGATCCAAGTAAGGGATTTATCGAAGATAATTCTGATATACTTAATAGATTGAAAAAATATCAAATTTTATCCTTTTAATTTAATTCCATCTGATTTTAAATTCATATTCTTTGTGAATAACATGAATTATGTTTTGAAGGCCAATACAGTGAACCTATGATCCTCTAACAACTGAGCGATGCTTTGGATTCATTCTTCGAGGGTATTTTGAACTACTGATAAATTCTTTCCTTCTAGATATAATAGAAGATCATCAGCATATAGAAAGAGTTTGACAGGTGGCTTAACGACGATAGCTAACCCACTGAATGCTATGTTAAATAGAGTCGGGCTAGGAACGCTACCCTGAGGAACTCCATTTTTCTATCGAAAATGTTACCACATTGTACTTTGAATGATCATTCATTTAGGAAATCTTTAATAAGGTCCCATATGGGATCCTGTATTCCGATATCTTTGAGTTGAGTTGATATATGCATGCTTGGGTGGAGTTGAAAGCGTTTTCTATGTCTATAAAAACTGCCATTATATGTCGTTTGATTTTGAAGGCTTGAAGTATATCAGATTCTAATTTTATTAAGTTGTCCAATGTACTTCAAATATATAATATAATCAAAACATAATATATGTATATAATGTGGAAAAATAAAATGGCATGATTATATGGTATATATAGGAACAGTTAGATCAATTTTATCAGTAAATAAGAATGGTTTCAGTGCCTTGTGACAAATCTAACTTCTGCTACAGAAGTTCTTTTAACTTAACACAATTTCACATGGAGTTAGACATGTAAGCTGTTAATACAGGACAGATTAATTTCAATATTCATAGGCAGCCAGGTCAATATCAGTCCTTGAGCAGCTTTGCAGCCCAGCCGAAATTAGTGGGAGAGAGTTTAAGTAATTTAAACATTTACTCCTTAACCAATAAGCAATTGACTGGCTGCCTGGACAGTCAGGTATTCTATGAAATGAGAACCTTGGGCAGCAGAGCCTGTGGTTCAGCCATAACTGTGCAAAAAAGGCAAATTAAGTTGGCTGTAAGCATCAAGCTCAGGCTCTATTGGAGAAATATTAGGGAACAGACACTAAGTTGTTTCTAGAAATACCCTTTATAAAGTAAAGTACTAAAATGTCTTATGACAGCAGTTCTTATCAGTGCAAAGCGTTGTCTAAGCTTCAATTTAACCATATAATGATCTGAGTCATAGTTTGGCCCCCTCGCTGCTCTGACATCAATAATTGAAGTTGCATGCTTTTTCTGAACCAACACATGATCAATTTGTGTTATTGCTCCATTTGGGGAACTCTATGTTTCTAAATGTATATTTCTATGTTGGAAAGTAGTGCTCCTTATGACCATATTATTGGCTTCCGCAAACTGGCAAACAAGCTTTCCATTATCGTTTGTCTCACTATAAATCGTGAATCAGCCAGATACTGCACTAACAAAGTTTTCTTTTCCTATTTGTGTATTGAAATCACCCAAAACAATTTTCACATCATAACATGGAGTTGCCAAAAATGTCCTTTCGAGATCCTGATAAAAGTCGAGTTTTACCTTGTCCTCACTGTCTTCAGTTGGCTCATACACAGATATTAAGGTAAAATTCCTATATCTTCCCCTCAGTCTCATTTTGCAAATCCTTGCATTAACCGGCTCAAATGATAATATACTCCGTCTTGCTTTTCCTGCCAATGGATCCAGTACCATTTCTTCCTTTCTTGACATTCTCATCACTAAAGATCATCGTATAATCTTTCTTATCGATTCTGATTGAACATTGAATTTCTTGTAAAGCTACAACGTCTATTTAATATTGTAATATCTGCTCTATTACCTCTGTCATCTCCTAGGCTGGAGCATCGTACTGATATTCCATGTAGGCTGAGTCAATTAAACCATAATGCACTTGTCAACAGTCGCATCAAGCAACATATGAACGGACTCACTGTAAAATAATCTTTCTCGTATCACTGTAAAAATATATCATACTTAAAAAAAAAATACAAACTAGATATTGCTCAACCCTTCCTGATTATTGAGTATAATTGTGGAGTGGGTTGATTTGATGTTATTTGTGAAATTGTTAGATAGCTGAGAATAAATAACAAAAAATATCTGTGGAAACTTTTTATAAATGCAGTGAATATTGCTGTAGCCGCTGGCTGATTTGAACATATCGAAGTTAGAAAGGAAGAAATCTTGGAAGTTCCATGTGCCAGAATCGATGAAATGCTATTTCTTGTCTATGCCGAATGCCTATTCTAATACTCCTGTGCAGTATAACCTGCCCTCCAATGCAGAGGAGTGCATCTACCACACAATGACATTGCTGAATAGTAAAGTGAGATGGTTGGGATCTATGCTGGTGGTCTGGGATTATTTAATTAGTATCGAGGATGGGATAATGGTGTTTCAGAAAGAGTTTGTCCAGGATTTTGCTCAAAATGGGTAAAAGGGAGATATTACGATAGGCAGATGGGTATTCAAGTAACTTTTTGGGTTTTGAAATCATTTTTATAACAGAAAATTTCCAAGGGATAGGAAAATAGATGGATCTGAGAAAGGTATGTGTATATAAGGTAGCTTATATATGTAGGAATAGGGTAGTTTTTCAAGGAAGAAGCTTTTAGATATGGGGTGTAATAAGGTCATATCTAGGTGAAATACAAAGAAGAAAAGAAATAATAATGTAAAACCAAATCTGGTATGAAATAAAACAGAAGAAAATTAAATTTTTAAAAGATATAAACATTTTATTTTATTAAGTTGATTAACAGAGATACTTCTATTTTTGTTTTTAATTTTAAATTATAAAATTAATTATTTTGAATACTTTTTAATTATTTTATATGATTATATAAAAAAATATATTATTTTTATACTAAATTAGCTCTTAGACCATATAAAAATTCAAACAATTTTTATAGCAACTATTGTATTAGTCACAAATAATTTAAAAAAACATTTTATACATTAACAAATTATTTTCCTGTTTTTATAGTTAATTATGTATATACAAAAACTGAACAATAATAAGTAGTTTAAGATTATTTTTGTTATCACTCTCAATAAAAATAGTAACTTGTTATGAAAGTAAAAACAAAAAATAAGTTATGAGTATTATTTAATTACTAAGACGCAGTTGATTGTAATCTCCTGTATAACTTCGTGTGCTGTCAGGAACATAACTGTAGAATTGAAAAAAAAGATTAATGATTAGTTGAAATAATTATAAATTAATTGATTTTAGTTAATAGTAAAAGTTTTATTAAAAATTTACATCATTATTATTTTTACAATGATTTAGAATCCTTTCACCTTTCTTAAATTTAATTACATTTCACCTTTTTTAAATAAACCTTTCAATTTTTTTTAAAGTAAAACACATTTCTTTATTGAATAATATTACATTTTGTCACATTTAAGGTCAATAGTAACAGTGGGTCATAGAGTAGCTTATTCACACTCATATAAATAAAAAAAATATCTTTCCATGCTTTTTTTGGAAAATATTTATTAAGATGCCCCTGTGATTAAAATTGTCCACATTGATTTCACTAGGATTTTCCGTATAGTGTACTTGATTTTCCATTTTGTAATTTTGATCTTTATTCTATGATAGTGTGAAAAGTTATTATAAAATAAAGGTCAACAGTGGACAATGAAAAATAAAAATAAATTAAACAGAAAAATAATTATCCTAAAAATAATTCTATATTTTGTATATATTGAGAAAACCAAAGACATTCTCATTGGGTCTAAGCATCTTCTTAATTCACTTTATTATTATCCCCTACTCTATCTTAATGAATAACCTATCCGCTACCACACTTCTGTTAGAAACCTGAAGGTAATATTTTATCAACACTTGTCCCGGAATCACCATGTTTCCCAAACTATCAGAAAATCTATTGCTTTTCTTAAACAGTTCCTGAGATCCCGTGATTCTATCCCTTTTAATACCTGTCAGTTTCTAGTATCCTCTCAAATTTTTCCCAACTTCGATTATGGCTGCGTGTGTACTGTCTAGTGGACTTGAGGTTAGACTGAAAAGGCTAATGAATTGTTTCATTAGATTCATCTGTGGAGTCCCTAGGTGCTCCCACGTCTCTAGTCAGTATTCCGAGTTGAAGTGGCTATATCCAGTTTCTCGACGACAATATTGCCTAGGTGCATTCCTATTCTGAATATTTACAACCGGAAAACCTTCATACCTTCTTGACTTTTTCACACCTTGTTTCTCTGTCAATTCTTTCAACACGAGATATCAGCCTAAAACCTGTATATTCCTTCTCATATTTTGAAAAAAACCTTTACAATGCCTGCTACTTTGTTTTGGAGTTCCTTACCTACCACCATACGCAAAACCTCATCATTGACTTAATTTAAAAACCATTTGTTTCTCCATTTCCTCAGCCATCTGTCTTCTGAATATTTATAAGAATAGAATATGTTATCAATATGATTCTAATATTAATTAAAAAATATTATTTATATTTCTTAACATGCAAATATGTAAACACACAAATATCAATTCACCTAAAATTTCATTATATTATATATGAAATTTATTTAAATTTTTATGTTACACAACTTTGTAACCTAATCATTATTTTTCAATCATTATGAGCCAGACAAATCTATATTATAATGTAATTATCATTGTATATGTTTGTTATTCTTAGAAAATAAAAGTCTCAGCAATTTACTTTCTTCTCCTTCTTCCATATAAACAAAAAGAAACTAAACTAATCAAAACTTAAATAAACACTTACTTTTATACAATATTATAAAAAAAGACCAGACTCTAAGAGATCCCAGAACCTCTTACTCTTTCGTATTACTGGTATTAAGGACCAGTGGAGACTCATGGATTCTGGATGGGGAATAAATGTATTGGAAAGGTGTCTGACAAAGAACTCCTTAGCTTTATCTTTGTAAAATGCTGTCGCAGGAGACGTCTTCTCACCGGAGGGAATGGAAAATTGGGTGATGTTTTAGAACATTTTTAGTGGTTTTCCAAAGGGAACTGTCACGGATAAAGAGGGAGGATAGTTAGAAATTCAAAGATTCGGATCTATAGGAGGCTAATTCCCTCTTTTTTTACAGTATTAATTATAGAAGGGGCAATTGACAGGATGTCTGGTACGTTGCCACAGATTAAGATTAAGCCACTGTAGGTCGCTCCTGTCTGGCTAACGGACAAGTACCCAAACATTTTTCAAGGAATGAGCTTCACACTTTTCTTCTGAAAACGGAATCCTCTTCAGTTTTTAACTGAGGGCCCACAAGGAATTAGCAGAAATAAAAAGTGTAGATAGAAAAATGATAAATAAATAGCAAGTTTGAATTTTATTGTTTTGAATTTGGCTGCCGCCACACTGGCGCTACATTTTGACGGGATACACTGACAAACTAAGTTCTCATTTTAGTTTAGCGCAAAAGGTCGTACTGTGTTGTTATTCTGTTTACTGTTCATTTTTATTTTTTTATTATTTCATATCTGTTTTGGTGTCTTAATTATATTTTTTATTTTCACTAGGCATAAATGCCTAATTCAGACATTGATTATTCGTGTGAAATATGCACCAAGAAGTATAATCACGTACTTGCACCAAGAAGTATGACAGGGCACGATTAAATCGCATGTTCCTAGAAATCATCGTGGTAAAAAGTTTAGCTGTTATTATTGCAACCATGAAGCCAAATTTAAAGATTGTTTGGCTCGCCACATTTGGAGGCATCGCTTCAGAAATATCAACAGAAAAGTCACATTTGTTAGATGTCCAATGTGCATGTTCGAGTGTCAGTCAGGTCAAAGACAAGAAATGATATCACACTACGTAATTAAACATGAAGTGACTATCAAAGAAAGAAAAATGGAATTTGGAGACTACAAAAATTTCATAAAATGGAAAGACATCGAATAGGTTGATGTATGTCAATATATTGCCCACTACGGACCCAAAAAAAGTAAAGCTCAATGCATCCGATATTACAGGTGTTTTCAGGATGGCAAGACCAGAAAGAATGGTAAAGGATTACACCATATGAAAGTGAAAGGTTCAATTAAGATAAACGGTGTTTGTCCAGCTTCGATAAAAGCAGAAATAAACAACATTACTGGTGTTGTTAATGTAACATTTATTCCGATCCACGTTAGGCATTCAAGAGATATAGGCCGTCTAAATTTGTCAAAAACTGAAAGAGCAGAGTTGGCTCGCAAATAAGCAATGGGGGTGCCATATAATTCAGTTTTGGATAGCGTACGTGAAACTGGAAAATGATGACATTCGAAGAAAGGATCTGTGGAACATCCAAAACAGTTATTGCCTCGCCAGGACCGAGAAATGGCAGTTGCATAAAAATGACAGCACGAGCGTTGAGGCTTGGATCAACTGGATCCAGAAGGAATCTAATCTAGTTAGATTTTACAAGCCATAGAGTACCATCTTGCCTGACTTTCCAGAACTGTTTGAGAACGATATGATCCTAATTATTGCCTCAATGGCACAACTTGAAATGTTAAAAAATTATGGATCAAACATTATATGTTTTGACTGAGCACATGGTTCCAATGGATATGACTTCGAGCTCACTACCATTCTTGTTTTAAATAACATACGACAAGAATTCCCTTGTGCCTATATGATCAGTAGTCCCTGTGACACTGTAATTATGACTGTTCGCCAAATTGTTGAGATCATGTTTATGTGAACCCATCCTATCTAATGTCAGACATGAGTGAAATTTACAAGAAAGGATGGTCCAATATCATGCCACAACCGAATCATTTCCTTTTCTGTGCATGGCATGTAGACCATGCTTGGAGGAAAAATCTCAGCAAAATTAGAGATCTTGAAAAAAGATCTGAGGTTTATAAAACTTTAAAAACTATTATGAATGAAACAGACGAGTTTGCATTTTTGATAATGCTACAAAATTTTGTCAATTTTCTTGAAAGTAACATATTGACCAGTGAATTTGGTTTTTATTTCAAAAATTCATATTGTAATAATACTGAATCATGGGCATATTGTTACAGGAAAAACTACGGTATCAATACAAATATGCATTTAGAAAGCATGCATAAGATATTGAAATATCTTTATTTGGGAGGAAAGAAGGTGAAACGTTTAGATAGAACAATATCTGCTCTCTCCTGTTTGACCAGAGACTAGTTATTTGATCAAATGATAGTGAAGGGAAGAGGGAAATTAATATCCCGAATTGCTGCAGTCCGGATTAGACACCAATCTGCAGTAAACATGTCTTCTTCCGTAGTTACTTTAGGAGAAGGATGGTTAGCTATTTCACAATCCGGTGAGGAAATGTATCTAGTTCAAAAAACAGAAACAGAACAGTGCAGTTGTGGAATTAAGTTTGTGGCATTTGCATACATAACTTCAAATGCAGTTGTATAAATTCGATAATATGAACAAATGTATGAAAACATGTTCACACAGTTGCCCTCTTCATGGCCAAACAGAGTTTACATGTTATGAGTGATTCACAAAATAGTGCTGAGCTTATTGTAAATGCGAACAAAACAACTAGACTAGAAGATGCCATTGTGGAAGAGATTTCTAAAACCGTCCATAATCCTTAGAAAATGAATAAAAAAAAAAAGATGTTGATGAGGGATAAAATTGAAGAACTATTGGAAAATATACAAAGTGATGAACATTTACAAATATTATGGAATGCCCATCAGCCAATTGTACCAACCACTGAAGCACAATCTTCCTCTTCGGCATCATTCAAATCCCCTTATGGAGATACAAAAATGATCAATTCATGTCAAAACGTATCCCTCAAAAAACTTTTTTTCCCACTAAAACGAAAAAAAAAAATCTCAAAGGTAGCATGAAAAAATCTTCTGCTGAAGACAGAATGGCTCTTTCTAGTAGTTTGCTGCTCAGCAAAGAAAGTTCTACTCTTGGAATAGTAAGGAGTATATGAAGATATTATAAAGTGTAAAATATTCATTTGATTTTATATTTAAAAGTTTAACTCAGTTAAAATTGAAATAAATTAATTTTCTTTTATACTGTTATATTTGTAGCTGAATTGATTGGTAAATTATCAATTGATGTCATAATAAAATAAAGATTAATTGTTTTGGGAGAATAAATACTGTTAACAAATCTTACTTATATACCTCATTGTATTACTTTGGAATTCTTGGAGAGTTGATCCTTCATTTTTAAAAATATATTTCAATCATTTAAAGATTCGTACATTTTTAATGGCATGATTAAAATGATATTGTACCCACCATCCAGTAACATTCTCAATGCCATCACAGGCTGAAATCTCTTCATTAAATGCTTTTCCTTTTGAACATCTGAACAGTCTAGGACGATCTTTTTCACATACAAAGAATGCTTGACAATCTGATGGAGATCTATAGTAAGTATTACCACCTGGAAACCCAAGAACAGGATGATAGGTTGTAGGGCAGGTAAATCCAAGGAAACCTGTAAATAATACATAAATCACATAATATATTGATTACTTTCATAAATGAAACATTTTTTAATTGATTTAATTTAATTGATCACAGACTGCTTCTTGTTGATTAACTATCCAACAAACTAACTTTATTTAATACCACCCAACCTGGGTTTTGTAAACTTCTTAGTTATTCATTATTTAAGTTAGGTTACCATCTTAAGCATAAAAACATCTTAATCCACTTGAATGGATCTTGATTGTAGAACATTTATATAAAAAATGAAAGGTACATAAAAATACCCAACAATTAAATATGCACATAGATTTTTCTAAAATTGTATTGATCTTCCAACAAAAACGTATAATAAACCACACTAAGTTTAAATATAAAAAAAAAATTACATTAATTAAATTTGTTTCATGGAACTTGATGAAATTGAAACTAGAATATTTCCCAACTTCCCTTCAACTTTGAGTCATAGTGAATATGTCCTTTTTGAAATATAATATATAAGGAAAACCTAACTGACCACTTTTTCACTAATCCCTAACTTTGCTGCCCCTATATCATGGGTTAGTTCCCTTCAAGAAAGTTATATATTAATTTATGTAAAAAATGAAACCAAATTAAAAAAAAATAAATGAAGGCTTTCCTTAACTAATCATGAAACATTTTCATTGTTGTTGTTTTTTTAGAGTGCCTACTCATGGCCTAATGGCCTAAAGTGTGTAAATCCGATCTTGTAAATACACTTTATTTATAATATTTAACTTGGGCATATACTGTAGATTGCATTCAAAAGTAGTGTTAAATTATAAAAGCAGTAGAATTAGCAACCTTAAGTATTTGTCTGAACTACATTATAAGTTAAGGGTTAAGATTTTCAGCTCATTACAAGTTAATACTAATTATATTGCATTGTTAATTTCTTACTTAATTTTATTATAACTTTTAAATTATACTTCCAATTGTCTCAAATAAATAAATATAGCATTTCCAAGTCAATTTCAACCTTTTCCAAATCAAATTCAACTTTTCTTATTTCAAATTAAACCTTTTCCATTTCAAATTCAACCTTTTTTTATTATCTTTAATTGTTGGATGTATGGGTCAGTTATCATATGAGTAGTTTTTGAAAATAACCTCCATTTTAAGATTACGCCACTCCGTTTCGACTTATTTAAGTTTTTCGGATTTATTCGATATTAATATGTTTCAGAAGCCGTAGATTTTGAAAATGACCTCCATTTTATGTTTATGGCACTCCGTTTCGACTTAATTAAGTTTTTTCGGATTTATTCCATATAAGGGTGTAGTATTATGTTTCTGAAGAAGTAGATTTTGAAATTGACATCCATTTTAAAATTATGCCGCTGCGTTTCGACTTGTTTAATTTTTTCGGATTTTTTCCATATGGGGCTGTATTCTTATGTTTACGTAACTGTGGATTTTGAAAATGACCTCCATTTTATGATTACGACGCTGCGTTTCGACATATTAAAGTTTTCAGATTTTTTCCATATGAAGGGGTATTGCTATGTTTCCGGAGCCGTATATTTTGAATATAACCTCCATTTTATGATTACGCAACTGAGTTTCGACTTATTTAAGTTTTTCGGAATTATTCGATATAAGAGTGTATTCTCATGTTTTTGGAGAAATTGATTTTGAAAATGATCTCCATTTTTAAATTACGCTACTGCATTTCGAATTATTTAAGTTTTTCGGATTTATTCATTGTAAGGGTCTACTTATAGGTAGATTAAATTGATTACCAGTTGCTTTTTCGGCTTTTTACTTTGTGTTTTATGGTTTATTTGACCTTAACTTCATAATACTTTTTTATTCATAATTGAAAACATATTCATTAAACTTTGTATTGAAAAAATCCAAAATAAACCTTAATTAATAGAGATGCAGAGGCGTAATCTTGAAATGGAGATTAAATATTAGATCAATATAATATTAGAGACCAGATAAATTTAAAATACTACGTCTCCGATAACATATAGGTAGATCCTCATACTGAATAAGTCCAAAAAACTTAAATAAACCAAAACACAATTGCATAATCCTAAAATGGAGTTCATTTTCGAAAACTACGTCTCTGATAACATATAAGTAGATCCTTACATCGAATAAATTCGAAACAATTATCTAAGTCGAAACGCAGTGGCGTAAACTTGGAATGGAGGTAATTTTCAAAATCTACGGCTCCGGAAACATAAGAATAGACCCTCATATTGAAAAACTTAAATAAGTCTAATAGTATTTTGAAAAACTTAGGGGAGCATAATAATAGAACCACATATTGGAAAATGGCCCTTATTTCGAAAAAAAAAAATCAAAAATGTACCGAAAATAGAAACTTTAATTTGAAATGGAAATAGTTGAATTTTTACTTGGAAAAATTGAATATGACATGGAAATGTTATTTAGAAAAAATCTAAAAAGTATAAATAAATGTATATTCAACCGCGTTATCACATTTTTATTTTGTGTGTATTTTTTTAAAGCTATGCCTTCTATAATATAGCGAATGGCCTTTATTTCGAAAAAAAACGAAAATTTAGAAAAATTCGAAAGTTGAATTTGACTTGGAAAAAGTTGAATTTGAAATGGAAAATGTTTAATTATTTGACTTGGAAATGGTTTAATTTGACTTGGAAAAGGTTGAATTTGGTTAGGAAAAATATTGATTGACTTGAAAATGCTATATATACATATGATATATTTTATATGGTTTACCCTCAGCATTACAAGTTGGTACCAAATCTGGCCAGTCACATTGCAAGGTTTCTTCATTGAATGCGAGACCCTCAGGACAATTGAATTGATATCCTATGCCATGGACACAATTCATGTATTGGCCACAGTTGTAAGCATCACCAATTCTGTAAAGGCCGAATTGTCTGGGGCAGGCAGCAGTTGGCTGTGGTGTTTCTGTAATTCATAAAAAAATCTTTAAATCAAAAGAAGTTTAAAGAATGAGAGTACTAATAGTTCACCTCAGCATAATCTATCAATACAAAAAATGTACATACAAAATAATTGTTGATGATATTTCCAAAAACTTGTAGATTCCATCTTGAAAAGTGAGTGTTTGTTCACCGAGTATGAATGTCCAAAATTTATTATGGAATGTAATAATTATATTATGAGTAATGAATGAAATAATACTATTTCTTGCTTTTCTTGGAGTAATTCAAAGTTTTAAACTTAATTCATATATGAGGGCACCATTTTTAATTTTTTGATAATTCTAAATAAATCCTTAATTGCACAATTGTACTTAAAACTGGGGGAAACTTACTTAATTTTGCATACCATCTTAATTATTTACTTGGTTAGATGGTTGGTTAAACTATACACCCAATTATTTATAACTGTTGAGATTATTACTATGGTTTTTGTCGTGAATTGTAGTAATTTCTACATATAGTAATGAATAGCTTATACGTATATAAAAATTATTGTAAACTTAATTTAATTTCTTCCTAAAAAGTTAAGGGTACTGAAGGTGAAAAGGCAGACCCAGAAATATTATACTGTGGGCCAGATCCCCCTACAATGCTCCTTCTCCTCCCTCCCCACCCTTCACATCCATATAAATTGCATATCTTTGTGTTCCTTATGATTATTTATTTAAAAAAAAAACCAATGTTTCCACAAAAAAAAGTGGAAACACGCTCCAAAATGGCGTCCAAACATGGCGGATTGACGACTTTGACTTTAGTTAGTTTTTTGATCACTGAAAATTAGCATTTGTCTTATTTTCGTCATAGTTGGTATTTTATTAAAGATGGATAGTCAGAGAATAATATAACATGAAAAAATATTAAAAAATAATTTGGCTTAGACAATAAAAAGCAACAGTAAAGTAATTTTTTTTTAACAAACAAATTTTCAAGTTGAAAATCAAGTGTCGTTTGTAATTAATCGCCAACAATAATTCAAAACATGCTGAAATAAGACATCTGGAAAATATATTTCTATTTCTGAAACACTGATTACTTTTACAAATATTTGAAGCAATTCCGTAGAATATGCACTTAAGCGGCAAAGAAGCGGTACTGGCGTAGGTACAGGCCTCTACCACACCATTCAATACTCATAAATGGCTTAGTTATAGTGCTATAACAACGTTTTTGGTACGTTATATTGCTTTTATTAACGAAAAATATTAATGCAATAATTTAATTATAAAAAAATTAAACAATTTTTATTTAAATTTGTTATTTTATTTTATTTTTTAAATTTAACTCCCTTTATTCTATGCGGAGGTCGTTTAAGAATGCTTCTATTATAAAAATGATATAATTATTATAATAAAACTTAATTGAAAGTACTTTGCTGAATATCTTGAATTTTTTATTTAACGTTTGTAATTTAACACTTAGTTTTGTATATTTACTGATTTCTAGAGATAATTTAAATTGTATATAGTTCCCCAAAAATGAGTCATATTAATACCTGTTTTATAAACTAAAATAATATATACCTAATCTGAACTACATATAATGAATAGTTTACGGGCTGTTTAGTAAAACTCATATATCGCTAATTAAAATTTAAAAAAATTATTTTATTTGGAAGCTGGACCATATCATAAAAAAAATACGAAATTTTAATATTGAATGCATTGTTCTCTATGCACAAAGAAAGACGGCAAGGGTGAAGCTATAAGTTCTTCTAGGTAACCGGAACTGATTGTTAGTATTTGGACTCAAAATGAGGGAAAACGCGAAATTGAATCCAAAAAAATGGAAAAATACATTAAGCGAACGGGGAAAAAAAAAGCCAAAATATCGGAAAAGAAAACAAGGATCAGTATCCATGATATGATTAAATGAATATATAGTAGACAGATGAAGAGAATATTTCAAGATGCTGAAAGGGTGTTAAATGCTGGAACAGTTTGGATTATATTAAGGGGACGATGCAGGTTTATTATAGTGAACACCATTTTATCAGCAAGAAAGATTTGTTTGAATCAATTGGCAAGTTAGCAGTCTGGACGAAGTAAAAGAGGTTTACTATGGTGAAAACTTAAATGGTTATTATCGATTGCTACTGAAGTTGCACGTTGGGACTATCTTCACTTTGGAGCAGGTTACAGAGAGGACTATCGAGAAAGGGAAGTAAAATTAAGCTCTTCTTCTCTTTAGTGTATTTGCAAAAGAATTTTAAAGGATTCTGAAAGGAAGACGAGCTTTTCTAAAAGACTAGTAGATAGTAGCACAATCCAAAGTGTCCTCTCCTAAGCAGATAGAGAGCTATTTTTTGTTCTTGATGGACTTCTCTATAACCTGCCTTAAGGTGAAGACTGTCCCAATTTGCAACTTCTGTTTCATGTGCAATTTAAGTTTCTCAATCCACATCGCTTCGGCAATCCAGAATATTTCTCATTCTAGCTTCTACGATTCTTGAGTAGAGAGTTTTTTAGTACATTAAACAAGAATGAATCGTGATGGGTATAACATTTCCTAGTATCTATATTCTTGTAAAGGGACAAAACTACACTCCTTTCATATCATTATGTAATAGTTGCCGATGTCCGCGCAGCAGTTCGGTTTACTTCGTCCAGACCAGCTGACTTGTCAATTTCTTCGAACAAATCTTTCTTGCTGATAAAATGGTTCGGCATAATAAATCTGCATCGTCACCCAAATATCATCCAAACTGCTCCAATATTTGATCCTCTTTTAGCAGCATTTTAAAATATTCAGTTCATATGTCTACTATATATTCGTTTAGCCATATAATGGATACTAATCCTTGTTTTCTTTTCCAAGATTTTGGCACTTCCTTTCTTGTCAAGTAAAGGCCCTAACGACTGAACCAATAAAACTAAATTTACACACATAGAGAATATAAATAAATTACTAATAAATTTCACCTCAATTAATGACTATAATTGGATATAAAATGGTCTTATCTGTTTTCTTAGCAATTAAGTGAGAACAAATAAAAAAACAATTGTGTCAAAAGGGTGGTCATGACCGAATTGTTTTTGAGCATTTTTACTACTATCCCAGTGAGAATATGAGACTGAAATAGAATGTGGCTTCAGGATTCAATATTAAATATTCATTAATCATGTAAAAAAATAGTGTAGAAATAACTCTAAAATTGCAATTTTTTGAACCTTTTTACTGTGATCGAGTGGTTTTTTCCTGGGCCAGAAGAAATGTAGGTGGATTAACACTAGAGTTAAAAGCCCCCTCCACAGGGGTTCGAACTCATTATCTTCAGTTTTAGTCCATTAAAGATAGTGGAAGAAACAGTCTTACCCCAATATTATTATTATTTATTTTTTTTTAATTTGAAAATTAATACATTCTGCCGCATTGGAGGGCATTAATATTAGAAATTGTTCATTAGCCTCCCCTTAATAACTGATTAAAAGTCCCAAAGAAAAAGAACCCATAGAAGAAGTCGGGTTTTAATGGGGGGAAGGGGAGGAAAGAAGGACAGAAAACTGGTCTTTTTTGAGAATATACCAGTACTAAAACTATGAGATAAATAAAAAAGATAGATAAAAAAAAAAAAAAAAAAAAAAACTATATAGGGGGCGGGGTAGCTGAATAGGCTAAAGCGTGCGCACAGCACCGCTAGTTGCCTGGCAACCGGATAACAGAGATTTGAGATGATATAAAAAGTATGAGTTCGCGTCCCGGTGCCGGAGGGGATTTTAAATTCCCTGCCCTCACCCTCCGGCCCGGGAAAATCCCGTATAGCCTAAAAGGCGAGGTAGGGAAGAACAAAAGAAAAAAAAAAAAAAAAAAAAAAAAAAAAAAAGATAAAAAACTATGATTTTTTTTTTTTTTTTGTAAAAACTTGAACATAATTTAAATTTAATCTAGTTTACTACGAAGTAATTAGTGGTAGCCTAACTTAAACATTTTTGTAGTTATTGCATTTTTTTCAACGTAAAACGTGGTTGGGTTAAATATTACAAAATGAATATATTTCTGTTGTCAATGACTTATAAGAATCATTGAAAAAGAAACTTTGAATAATAATTTGAAAGATCAAAAATGTTTAAAAAAAACTTATGAAACCTCAAAACATGAACATCAATTCCATGTTTTGGAACAATTTTTGCATAAAGTGAAAATGCAATAAATATAATATCATAAATATCTCCTTAACCATTGAATTTATCAAAAAAATATATAGAATAATTTTTATACAAATTTCAAATTACTTTAATATTGTATTGAACATTTTTTGTGAAAAACCTCATAGTTTTTGAGGAATTCTCAAAAAACTAAAAAAATTCCAGTTTTCATTCTCTCCTCCCTCTATCAAAATCCGATGCGGGATTCTTTAGGCCTTTTTATCAGTTTTTATGTGAAGGCTAATGAACAATTTCTGACGTTTCATCTTTATATTTTGAATGTCAATCCCTAATTTTACTGAACTATTTATCAGTTAGTCGGGTAACGCTTTTTGCACACTTGTTAGTCTGCTCGAATATCCCTCCCTATTAATTATTGTCTGGTTGATTTCATTAAAAATAAAACTGCCAAGATAAATAATATGAAATATAGTTTATTTAATTTAAAGATATCATTGCTAAAGGAAGTCCCTATCAGATTGGACTTAATAGGAGTTCATTATTTAACCATCGAAGTATACATTTGAGACAACAACAAAAAAACGTGAGGATCCTTTTTTTTAAAATTTGGCTATATTAACCGAATACATGCCAATTCAGCACAGAAATAAAATGAGGTAATTTTCTTGAATGTTTGTAAAGTGCCATTTATCTTTTTCAGCTGGCTAACGGACTGGCTGCTAAATGTTAGAGATGTAAGGATTTCAGGGATTAGCTCATACTGTGACTCTCTCCTTTAGCAGCTTTATGTTAAAAAGGTTAAGGTGAGAGGTCTTCTAAGGGAGTCCCATTAGTCGTTATGAGGGAACTTTTGTACCCG